TAAAGAACTTGTGAAATTATGACATTTTAAAATTTTATAAGTTTCGTGATATTTTTTAGAAACCGAGTCATTCAGTTCGATTGGCTTAATATCTATAAAAAATTTATAGAGACTCGTTTATTTAACCGAGTTATCTGTATTAATTCAGTTTAGTCATACTAGTCACACAGTTCAATTAGTGACTCAATGATTCAACCAATAAATCATTGATTCAATATCCTTACCATTTTGATAACTGGTCCGATTTTTAAAATATTTGAGAAAAATGAAAAAAAGAGTTACGAGAGAAAAGTGAGTTAGTAATATTTTTTTATTAATTATTTTAATAAGCCTTAGTGTTTATATATAATTAAAAAAATTAATTATCCTAGTTATAAACCTCAATGTATACTATAATATAAAAAGAAAATGAAAAAACTTGTGTGGATATAGTCACACCTAGCCTCAATGTGAATCCGTCCATGGTTAGTGAGAATGAGAATCTTGCAAAGCAGAAGTTGCCGAAGATGGTGTTTAATTACTATGTATATAGCGCTGAAGACCTCTTATGTGTTGCATCAGTTGCTGGAAAAACCATTCTACGAATTTAGTTTTTTTTTGCCTTACATGATAATGTTCTCTATATTGTTTAGGTTTATAAGGACATGAATTTGGTCCCCTATTTATTGTTTTGAAGGACTTTTCTGAATTAAATTTCATGTTTGATGCAACATAAAAGCCAAACAGTTAATGAAGAATTGATATTGATTTTGGTACAAATAATTCACGAGTTTCTGTTATAGTAGTACACTGTTATTTTTTTATACATATTATTAACAATTTGTGGGAGTTTTTATCCTTCGAAAACAAAATTCCTAGTTTTAAAAAATATCAATTTTTTAATGCATATGTCGATCAACTAATTCAATTATTGTCTTACTGGCATGTCACATCAGCAACAATTAACGTTTTTTCTCACAATTTAAGAAAAGATTAAGTTGGCAAACACAACCTATTTTAAGTGACTAAAATGTAACTTACTAGATAAGAGATTAAAGTGAAATATGAAATTAAGTTAAAGAATTTCGCCTCTAATTGAGCTTTTTTCTTTTATAAAAAACTAGTAAGACACTCGTACTCCCGCACAGGTAAATTTATTGATATTGTATAAAATATATTTAGACATATATAAATTTGAAATGAATGTCTTAACTATAAATGAATAATGATCATATAAACTCAATTATATTAAATAACCATATAAAAAAATCTGTGAGATGGAGAAAAAAAAATGAAATTTTAACATTTAAAAATAAAAATTGTCTCACAAATAAAGATAATTGTTTATTAAAATAAAATAGACATTGTGGTGATAATGACCTGTGAGATAATTTAGGAACATGTTGATACGCCACAGAACCGAAAACTCTCAAATGGTTCAGATTCGGTTTGAATCCAAACCATGCTTCTTCCGGTGTTATCTTCTCAAGCTTCTTCGTAGGGCATCTATTCACCAAATAGACAGTTGTGTAGATCGCTTCTCCCCATAGCTCTTTCGGTAAGTTCTTCCCTTTTAACATGTTTCTCACCATGTTCATAATCAATCGATTCTTTCTTTAGGAAACAATGTTTTTTGTAGTGTATAGGATGGTACTACTCATGCACTATCCCATTTTCATCAATATATTTCTCAAAGTCATTTGAGACATACTCGCCTCCACCATATGTTTTGAGATCTTTGGGATTGTGACCGCTTTGCCGCTCAACCATAGACTTGAACTTATTAAACACTTCAAATACCTCATCCTTTCTATGATTAGGTATGTTTGTAGCTTTCTACTATGATCTTCTATAAATGTGACAAAGTACATATTATCACCACACAAATCAACTTTCATCGGTCCACACACACCAGAATACACCACCTCAAGGTGATGTTTGGTTCTACAACTTGTATCCTTGCTTAATTTACCCTTGTGTTGCTTCGCTTTCACACACTCTTCACAAATCTCAGTTGGTATGTTGATGGATAGCAACCTGATTACCATTATGTTCCTTTGCAATGCATTGAGATCTCAAAAATTAAGATGTCTGAGATGGTAGTGCTATAACCACTCTTTCCAACTTGCCACTGTAGAAAGACACCTATGCTTCATCACCTTCAACTTAATCTTTAAAGTTCTATTGGAAGCCATAGAAGCTTTAAGGACCAAAATCCTGTTTGTATTCATAACGCGCAAAGTCTTGTCTTCCATGTGAATCTTGTAACCCTTCTCAAGCATTTGGCCAATACTTAAAAGATTAAATTTGATTCTAGGAATGTACAATACATCTTTGGTCAAGGAATTCCCACCATCCCGTCTCATGATCAAAACATCACTGATCCCATTAATCGCTAAAGTGGTGTCATTCACAAATTTTACTTTATTCTTTGTGGCTTGATTGATTTTGATAAATCAATCCCTTCTCCCCATCATATGCGTAGAACATCTATAATCCAAGTATTCTTCTTCTTTGCATTAGACTCCTTTTCTCACAGTCACCATAACATTTTCTTCTTCAAACTTTTCTCCAGTGTTCCCAGAACTGCTGCTGCTGCATTCGCCTTCTGTGATCATGACCAAGAATATATTCTGATCATTCATATCTTGCCTAACAACCTTAGCTTCATTTCCTTGATATTTCCTCTATTTTGCATTGCGTTCTCTTGCGAAATGACTGAACCTTCGACAATTTTAACATTGTGCCTTACTCTTGTCATACTTCTTGATTTCACCTCTAAAGTTGCTTTAACCACCATTTTTGTTGCAGTTGCTCTCACTCTTTTGATAAGTCGAATTCTTTGACTTTTGAGACTCTTTTCCACCATAATTCTGAAAATTCATTTTACTCTTCATGGACCATTTTCCTTTTGACTTGTTCTTTTCTCATTGAATCGAACTTGCAAAACGGTCGCTGCCTTTGACTTGTCGTTACTTCTCTCATCCATTCTTCGCTCATGAGCCTTAAGAGAGCTTTGAAGCTTCTCTTTGCTCAATGTTGAAAGATCCTTCGACTCTTCAATCACCACTACAATATTGTTAAATTTTACCGTCAAAGAACGCAAGATCTTCGACATAATATTCTGCTCATAAACAGTCTCTCCACATGACTTAATTTGATTCACCAATTGCATAATTCACGTCATGTAATCTTTGATTGTCTCCTTTTATTCTATTTGAATCAATTCAAATTGACGTTAATGAGTTTGTAACTTCACCACCTTTGCCTTATCAGTTCCTGCATAAGCCTTCTCCAAGATTTCCCAAACTTGTTTTAATGAGTCGCAATCACCAACTTTCTCAAAGTTGTCACCATCTACACATTGATGGATAAAAAAATAAGGCCTTGTAATCTTTCTTATTTTCTTCCTTGTACGCAACCTTTTATTCATCTACTGCACCTTCAACAAGAGGAATCACACCATTCTTGATCACTTCAAGAATTTCTTGGTAGCCAAACAACACCTTCATTTGCTTGCACCATTTGTCGTAATTTTTTGCTTCAAGAAGCAGAAGGTTTGTAGGGGCTCTATCATTAGAGATAATATTCATGTTGCATGTACAACGAATGTTTATGGATCAGAACCATGTTCTTGATGCCAAATGTTGGAACATGCAATCCCACAATTGGTAAACAATGAAGGGTTTAGGTATGTTGATAAGAAGATAGTGATGAAGGAGAGAAAATTAGAGAGATGATTGAGGGTGAGAATGATAATTTATATTAATCAATGATAAGGATGCCTCCAAGGCATTTATACAAGTGTTACAAAATGATTGGGACCTAAAACACATCATCCAAATACAAGAAAAAGTAAAAACTCGTGGTTGTAACCAGTTAACACAAACCGTTAACTAGTTAACATAGACAAAAATAGAAAATACACAATCAGGTGTAACCGGTTAACGCGTATGTGTAACTGGTTAACGCCAACTCAAAATATTTTTTTCTTTTGCAAAAGTGTTTTTCCGTCAAGCTGTAACCGGTTACACCACCGTGTTAACCTGTTACAACACTTGAATTACATATTTTCACTCAACAAAAACTTGCCTCGAGCTAGAGCTAACAAAACTGGCTACCCGGTCCAAAATGGGCCTGCTTTGGCAGACCTCTGACTTTTTATGGCTGAATCAAAAAAGTCATGTTGTAATATGAGTTTGAAAATTACTACTCGAGCCCACCCTATATGGGCTTCGAGCTACCAGGCCGAGCCTTTTTATATAAAAATAATTAAATTTAAAATCCCACAATATTTATTGTAATCAATTAAAAATTATATTACTTTAAACATAATACATTTTTAAATACTATATTATCTTTTATAAATACTATAACGTATTTTTAAGTACAATACATGTCTAAATTGTATAAAATAATACTTGAATATATAACATAAGAGAAACTAATAGAATACGAGAAAAGAATGTTGATTATATTAGTGTATAATATTTAAAATAGAAAGATCGAATAGAATAAGAACACAATTTTGTGAGATGAAAAAAGTCAATGTGATATTTTGAAGTCAAACAATAAGTATTAATATAATTTTTTTAAAACGTATAGTTATGCGGACCTAACAGACTAACCACGGTTCATAAAGACTAACCCTAATGGATAACAAACTTTTTAGAGTTTGGCTAATAAAATCCTGAAAATATGAACTTTAATTTTAAGACTAAAATCATATGATTTTTCGAGGCTGACATACCAACCTTTATAGACGGGTCTATTTTGACATCTCTATCCCAAGGAATTGTTAAAGTTAGAGGCGGTTATTAAATGTCTAGTTTTCTATTAAACGGAATAAGACATGTTTATTATATACACCATTACCATAACACCATCATTATTGTATATGTACAAATGATAATTACTTTTTGAGATATGAACAATGGAAGTCACTAAGAAATTAAACTAAACATAGACATGTAATATATTTAACTTAATTTAGAAGAGGAATGACTATTCTAATTATAATTCTAAACATGATCATCATCATCAATATCTTGAAGACCAGGCAATGGAAATCTGAGTATGGCAGCAACACCAGTTAGCTGATCCAACTGTGGTGTGGAAACATGCATGGAAGAATACACCAAAGCCTTTCCTCCACCCTCTTTCACTGATTTCACCAAACCAACATATTTTTTCCTCATATCAATCTCTTCATTCCTATAAAGATCATCACTTATCAAAAGTGTTTCAATCGCTTTCATCTCATGTGCACTCTCTACATGCTTTGGTCCATAACATACACGATCTGAATTGTTGCACACCATGTCCCATAATTCCTTGAAAACCCTAATCTCTAACCCTAAAGTGCTGTCCTTTATCAAATTCATCACCGCTACGTCGTTGAAAACTTCCCTCAAATCAAAGTCATAGTTACCTTTGTTGTTATTAGTATTACTATTACACTTTGATCCTACAACAACGACACGCGACTTGTTCTCTTCGATCCACCTCATCCTTAACCTCCTCGCTTCCGACAAAAGAAACCTACGGAAAATAGTTGGGTTATCTCTATCTCCTGCTATCACCACGGTTTTCACAACTTTGAAATCCACATGCTTCACAAAAGCCGCAAAAACATCACGAAGAAACACGTTAGATGAAGAAGATTTTTTATGTGAATGTGAAGAGGCTTCAATCTTGGTGCAACGAGTGGTGACCCCTTTTCCAAGCAAGTGAATCTCCGCTTGGTGTTGTTGAAGAACAATAACAGCAAGATTCGCATCAGAAGAAGAAGATGAAGAATTCTCTGTAGCATCTGATAAGGCTTCAACGGCGTGTGGACCCCATATCTTTTTCCGAAGTTCAAAGGGTTTATCTCTTTCGAGAGATAGAGTGTGGAAAGAACCAGCAGCGACATGTTGGTTTGATTCAAGGTTGCGGCCATGGACGCGGAGGGTGGAAGAGTCTTTGTGAAAGTCGCGGCTGGTGACTTTAAGATGAAGGGTGAGTTTGACACGTGATGCGGTGTTTTTGTTTGATTCGAGGTGGACTTTGCGTGTGGTGTCGGCGGTAACGACGTCGCCTACGGTGATGAGGTTGTAAAGGAGCCATACATCGTCGGGTTCTTCTGCGATTATTTTAACGGTTCCTGTTTGGTTTAGAGCAAAATCTTTTTCCAAGAGTTTCATGTTAATTTAATAAATAATTAATTTGGAAAAGATGTGGTGAGAAATGAGAATGAGATGTTCCGAAGATTTTGGTGTTTCACAAGATTTTTATGTGCAAAAGATTGTGTGTGCTTTGATGTTGCGTGTTGTGTTCCAAAATTGATTGGAGTCTCGGGGTTCTTGTTTTAGCTTTGATTATGATGGTGCTATTTTATTGAGAAAACAATTCTTTATTTTGGGTATAAGCTAGATAATGCATTTACTAGATTCGTCCCTTAAGTTTACTTAGTTTGGAGTTTTCAGATATGTATTTATTTTTTACAAAATTTGAGTTATAATACCAATAGTCACTACTATTTAGATTAATTTTCACTCATCATATGTTCTTGATAAAGTATGGATTTCTTCAAGGTTAGTTAAATGTTTTTTTTTAATTGTAGTAGGGAGGGCCGAAGCCCAAAACAATAGAAAAAATTAAGCAGAAACAAACCTAGAAACTATAACACCATTTAAATCCATTTTCAAATTCTTCATCAAGAATTCAGGAACCTTAGGAAAAATCTTACTATTGATCTTTAACAATCTTCCATAACTAGCGAGCGAGTTAGCGCAACCATTAGTCTCTCTACACGCAAAAGTGATCTCAACGTCTTCAATGGCAGCCAACAAATGGAGAATCTGCTGCTCCAGATTCAAAAAGCTAGTCGACTTCTTCCTTGCTTTGGATAACACCTCAACAACCACCCTAGAATCCGTATTCACTTCAACCTTCAAAAAACCATGATCGACTATTAGCTTCAGTCCCTCAAAGATACCCCAAAGCTCTGCCATTAACACACTGCAGTTACCTATAAACTTGGCAAAATCAAGAATCCAACTACCTTCTGCGTCGCGAATAACACCCCCACAACCAGCTACACCATCTTTATCCCTTGAGCCATAAATATTAAGCTTAACATAACATTCCCTAGGCGGATTCTACTTAACAAAGAAAACCATTTTCCGATTTTCCATGGTTATAACATTCGTTTTCATGACCTTCTGATAGTCATACAGTCTATCCTCAATATATACAATAGGATTAAAAGGACGCTGAAAATTAACTATATGATTCTCTTTGTTCCTCCACGACCAAATCATGTGACAACCCATAGCCCAGTAATTGCACCACTCCCTATCTTCCTGAGGGATATCCATGATATTAAGATTGATCCACTCCTGCAAGTTAGAACCATAGAAAACATACACAATGCTAGCAGGGACATGATTATCCCACACCTTACGGACCATTCTACAATCTCTCAATGTGTGGATCACATTTTCATAAACACTCCCACACAGCTTACAATTAGCATTGCCAAATCCGCAAACACTCATATGAAGTTAGTGAGAAACCTATCATGGTTAATAATCCAGATGAAGTTGCGCACCCTTTTTGGAACCTGCAAGGACTAAACCTACTTCTAGATTTGGTTAATAACCAGCACATCTTCATGCATCAGATTATGATACATGTTAGTTATCTTGTTTTAGGATTGGCTTAATTTTTGTAAAATAAATAACAGCAACAATGAAGAACAAATACAACAAGAATTTCTATTACAATGTCAGAACATGTTGTGTTGGACTTTTTCAACAACTGGAACAACATGTCGAAGAAGATGTCTTGACATTGCGCCTGCTGAGCTGGATTAATGAGATTCAGTTTGTTCTCAATATTGGCAGAATATTCAGGAGAATATTATGTGGCGCATATTTAAAGGTCTAGAAAATATAATATGAAATCAAGGAGAATTAAGACTTTCTAAATAAAGGAGATTATTTAGGAAAGTAAAGATTGAAGACCTTTCTTGAGGCATAAGTTTCTGTAGTTTATTATAGTCAATTTGCTGTGATTGAAGGCCCAAAACCAGTTGGGCAACAGGTTATAAATTGAATGGTTTGCAACCTAGATGAAATACGGCTCAATATGTAGAAGTATAGGGTTTGTCAAGGTAAACCTCTCGGGTTGTGGGAAGGTTACCAAGTTCACCTCAAAGCCTGTAGGTAAGATGTGTATTATTCTTGGGGGAAGTTTGAAGCAACTCCAGGATGTGTTCTTAGTTAGGAGCAGAGCTAACAAACAATGAAGTTTAGCTTGGAGACTTAGCTAAGTTGTCATGGAAATGTGTCTTCTAAATTGTCTATGTGTGTGGTCAGAATTTTGGTGAAGGGCAGTCAATGCAGTGACTGAGGTGCTAACTGCTAGACATCATTGTGATGATTGGAAGTGGGATGGGGATATTCCATATCTACGGAGGACCTAGGTAGAAGGGTCATTGGGTAGTGATTAAGTGCGTAGATCGTCAACGGGTGTGTTGGTTGTAGGGTCTACAAATTGATACTACTGATAGTGGACTTCATTCCTGGCTTGGTAGTCCCCATAGTAGGTGTTGTTGTATACTGAAATGGGTAAAAAATTATGGTGTGTTCTTTATCTTTTCAGTACTGTTTTATCTTGCCTGTGTGTTTATGTCAGATCAGATGTCTCAACATCCTTGTAGAACATCTGAGTCGGTTGTACCAGAATTTCAATTGGTATCAGAGCAAGCATCCTATTCTACTTTGGGTGAGATCATGGGAAGGTACTTTCTGGTCATGGGTAAGGAAGAAAGTATTTACTGAAAAGAGGTATGAACTTGGAAAATTCATACTATTGTTTGGATGATCTCTTGGCAAGGATCATTGGTTATATGTGACATATATTGTTCCTGGTTGTTGCCATCAGGCCTACAACTTAGTGGGAAGCTGCTATATGTAGGGTTTATTTTTCAATCCTAGGTTTCCATGTTTGTACTTGGATAGTGGTGTAAGCATTGTGTCTGAATATTGTTGAGGAGTTCGTTATATTCCGTTGCATGATTTCTGATATAACCCTGAAAGTATGAGAAGAATACTAGGGTTGTTACCCTCAATAGAATATATGCTGACATTTTCAACCGTATTAAAAGTGTCAAAGATACTTGAGATTTTCCTCAAGTCTACTCATAAAGATGTTTATCAATAAGGTTGATGAGAATCAATTTATCAATGATGCTCATATACTTCTGCATATTGACCTTGAAGATTGTCAAGGATGGTGTGTTCTAAGAAGAAGGAACCGATGTTCTATGGGATTATAGAACATTATGCAACTACCAGTTGAAGAATAGATGCTTTGGGTACTGAATAAAAATGTTTTGAATAATTTTAGTTTGGAACCTACTCCTGACCTGAAAGAGGAGGCATCTGGTTTGTGCAGGTTGATTAGGACACGATCAACAGTTTATCTACTCCATATGTCAGTTTATTTCTGACCAAGGATTATGAGAGTATAGAGGTTGAGCTTCATGCTCTTGAGAAGAACTCATAAAGGAATCTCCACCAGACCCTTTATGTATATGAGATGAGCTCGTATTTGGAAGACCCTTATGATCAAAGGAACCATATTCATGGAATCATGTTTGTGGCCATAGAACAGATTATGTTTGAAGAAGAGTATTGTGATCCAACCATAGTGTTTGATGCTCCTGAATATTATTTTGACTACCCTTGAGGAAAAGAATTGATGATTCTCTTTGTGTATCCTCAGAAGTTGTTGAAAAAGATTCCCCTGTCAAGGGTACATATTATGTCAGACAGAATATCATGATATCTTTGAAGATGTTAAAATTTGGAATTTTTTTTATTAATAACCATGTATTAAAATAATATTTCGCAAATAACCGGGTTTCGGAAAAAATTACGCAAATAACCATGTTTCAGATGGCTCCACAAAGGAGGAGCCATCTCAATTGGCGCATGCACCTCCTTTTTTAAGGGAGGCGCCATCTCACTTGGCGCCTATGTGCTTAGGGCATGCCCTAAGCCAAGTGAGATGGCGCCTAACTGTAATTTTAGGGCAAAAAAATTTTTTTTAATTTTTTTTCCTGTGCGTTGCCTATTGGACAGAGATCAACAAAATGGACTTTTTATTAAAAAAAAAAAATTACATTCAACTGTATTACATTAAAAGAACAGTAAAAAAAATGGATACAAAAAATACTGGGAAAAAAAAAGATACATCAGTGATCCCCCGGAACCCGGTAATGACCCCCGGTTCCGCATCCCCGTCCTCGCCTTTCTCTTGCTGGGTGCCGTCGCGTTTCCTGCTGCGGCAAGGTCGATGGCCCAACGAAGTCAATGCGGTCCAAATCCATAAAATTAGTAAGATCTCCATATCTCGAAGATCCGCTTTGGTACATTCGGTTAGCCATACCCTCAAAGTTTGGTCGTGTTGGCGGTGGGTGGGGTTCCATGGTTGGTCGGTAGCATTGGTCGTCTGAGTATGGGGGGTAGAAAAGAAATGGATCTTGGGGTGTTTGGTATTGTGGATGTTGGGTGGTTTGGTGATATGGTGGGTGATGGTAGGTTTGGTCGGCTTGGTCATAATCTTCTGACATTCCCATATCAGGGCTAAGGCTGGATGTTGAGGGTGCTATATTGGGATATGTGGAAGACTGAAATTGTGTCTGGGGTATGTGGGTGTGCTGGTATTGGGGTTGGTATTGTGGTTGGGTTTGAGGCATATCAGGGTATTGGTAGTTTGGTGGTGATTGTGGTTGGTAGTACGACATTTGATTGTAGTTGTGTTGTGGTGGGGAATGTGGTTGGGTGTTTGTGGGTCTGTTTCTTCTTGGGGGTTGGTTGGAGGTTGATGGGTTTTGGGTTTGTTGATGGGGAATCGAGGGTTGTGCCCATTGTGTGTGTGGGTCAACCAAGTACCTCGGATGAGACACGTGCATTTCTGGGTTACTAACCGACCTGTACCACGACATATATTGATCCGTGTGTCGCATGTTACCTTGAGTAAGGAAAACCGGGAATTGCAAGATGTAGCGGTGACGCCTCTGCCACATCTTACACCATTCCGGAGCAAAGTATTTCCAGTTGGTAAGACCCCACTGGGCGTCGACCCTTTTAAGATGCCATGGGGATAAATCTGTTGGATCACTTGGTATCTC